TGGGTCCCGCCGACTGCCGGCTCCTTGGTCGACAGGCAGGCCCCACTGTCCAGGGCCTTGTCAGTGGCTGGTTACTGTTGCTTAATCTTGGTGATGAGGGCTTCGCCGAGGTGGGCATGGCTACAGTGCCACCGCCCAACGGGCGATCGCTGTAGCCTCACCGCGTCTTGTCTCCTTAATGAGGCGTCTTCTTCGAGGGAGGTGGCAAGCCGGCTGTGGGGAGCCGGCTCTATCTCGGGCCGACTGGGGGAGGCCTGGCCGCCTTCGGGTGTCTCTCTGCCCGAAGGGGCCCACCGCCCGTGGGCCGCGCCGGCGGTCCGTCGTGGTTGACATCAGGGATCATCGTGGCAACAGTGCCGTGCCGGACGGGTCATGGCCACCCGTACGGCGCACTGTGCCAAGCGTGCTCTGGGATTCGGGGGTGGCAGGCTTCACTGTAGCCACGCCCCGTCACATCGCCGTTATGTGGGTGCAGACTTCGAGGGTACGATCTTGACCGCTTTATGGGAGCCGGCTTCTTGGAGTCGGCCCTCTCGCGGTCGGCTTCTCAGAACTGACCCTCCCGCGGCGTTTCTTCATGAGGGCTGAAGTCGGGCCGCCTTCCGATAGCCGGCCTGGAGACAGCCGGCAAGGGGAAGGCGGCCATGTGTCTTGGATTCTTGAGGGCCGAATCGGCTCGTAATTTTTTCAGAAGGGCCAGGGGGAGCCGGCTAGGCTACCCATGGTTATTTACTCCGACAGCTTTCCACCTAGAGCGAAAAAACTATGTGAGAGTGTTTGAGTGTTGAGAAGATTGAAGGACAAGAGCAAGAAGTTCATCATCAACAATACCACCTATTACCTTTTGGGGTGGTGATGCCTCCTAGATTGAGTAGGTGTGCTTGGACGGCTTCAAATCTTGTGGAGAAACCAAAAAGGTTGAGAGGGCTTGGAGATCGCTTACTTCGTGGAGATCTATCCCGAATGAGTCCAGCCCTTCATGGGTGTAAGCCATGGTGGGGTAGACAAGGTTGCTTCTTCATGGACCCTTCATGGTTGTGAGCCCTTTGAGGACTTGATTCCTTCATGAAATCCGCAACCATAATCATTGTGATCTTGGATCCTTAAGATTGAAGCCTCCATCAGCGTGAACGTACGATAGCATCATCTATCGGAACCACTGGTCAAAATCTTCCATGTCCCCAATTGCGTATCTGTAAACTCAACTCTACTTTACTATCACTTGCAATGTCTTTACTTTCCATTGTCTATGCTCTAAACTTGCATGTATAGGGTGTTCCTTGATTTGCTAGCTAAGCTAAAACTGCCAAGAACTAAAATTGAGAAAATAGTTGTTTAATTTCTAGTAGTCTATTCACCCCCCCTCCCACCCTCTCTAGACATACTTCTGATCCTACACAACGACGTTAAGCCACTTACTTCGCCCATGCATTTTATCCAACAAATGCAAAAATATGAAGTGATTCTGCTCCATCTTGTGATACAACATGCACATGTGCAGGCTAGCAAAGGAATACAATGACATGATCAACAAGTTACAACATTGAACAAATCAATAGGATGACCAACACATAGAGGAACAAACCACAAAGCTTATGAGCTCATGGAGTGACGCGCCACTTGGCCACCAGTTGTGCACTTGTTTGTACATGCCGCAAAACATGTTGACATTCTCTTCAGTGACGTACCATCAATGGCCTGACGACTTTGGGTTCCGATAATATATCACTTCCCTACGATAGGGAATGCAACACATTTGCTCATGGTATCAATCATGTACACTTTGCCAAAATGTCAAAGTGTGGGTTAG